ATTTTGAACCAATCGGCGTGCCATAGTTTGTCCTTTAGATGTTTAAGGAAATTGGGAAAGATTTACTGAATGATTTATCACCCTTGACCTTAGCTCAATTCCTTGAGATTGAATTTTAACTTTTTATATTTCTTATATTTTGTTGGCACACCCAACTTATCCAACATTTATGCTGGGACTTCAAAGGGTGCAATTCTCCAAAATTATCTTCCAGTTTTTAAGCCTTTTGACGTTCCAGTAAGCGTGGTTGTTTGAGTAGCCCTACATATCGCCACAAACAAAAATATTTACAGGATACAGTACAAATGTTCCACGACCACGTTCTCTTGATTCCTGAGAAAAATATTAACTACTGTGACAGAGAATTAAACCCCAGATGTACTGTGCTACATGTGCTACAATATATTCCAAAAGAGGTGTAATCATAAAATCATAAACCATTAAAGAAATATAAAATCACCAAATAAACTAAAAACACTAAAAGCACCAAACGTCCTTACGCCTTATGCAACCAATCCTCTCACTATGTCAAAAACCAGACTTTTTGAGATTTTAGACACGTTCTTCCTCAATAAAAATTCAACTGAAATTTTCTTATCTTGTGATCTGTCACTTAAAAAGTTACTACATGTGTATTGAAATCATTTTGATTCTACACACTAGTTGATATTGAAAAGATTTCGGAGTTCTCATGTTTAAAATTAGTCTTTGAAGGCAAGTCTTTCCAACAATCTGATGGAATTACTATATACACTAATTGTGCCGTGTTAGCCAACCTGTTTTAACTTCTTATGAAACAGAATCTATTCACTAAATTCCAAATGAGAAGGAAAAAAATCGCTGTGGCATTCAATTTGACATTTAGATATATTAACAAAGTTTTTTAATCAATTATCAATAGTAATTGCTATACATTTATGAAAGATCCCCGCAGACTCTCCCTGTTTGGATATTTTATTGAGATGTTCAAGACCCTCTAACAACAGTTACACTTTGTATTAAACTTCATGTTTAACGTTATAACAGGTTTTGCATCATCAACTTTCTGTCATTTTTACTTTAAGATTCTAACATCACTTGTATGTGGTGTTTTCTCTCCCAACTGAAAGCATGTTCTTACGGAACACCAAATTGAAATATATATTCAAATATTTGATCTTCAAATCAACTGTACCTATCTTTAAATAAATGAAAGATATAGGTTTAATTCAGTTATACATATCATTTGATATATTCATTTGAAGATAGGTACATATTAGAAGATAGATACAAATGACATGAATTAAAGAGAGGTACAATTTATTCAAAGATAGGTGAATTGAATTGAACTTATCTTTAACTATAAAGATGCTGACAATAACAACTACTCCCCATAGAAATGCTTTGCGCATTCCTCTATGTTCAAGTTGCGCTCATTATTTTCAACAACAGAAAAAGAAGTGAATTTAGGTAAAATTGAATTGCACCTATTTTCAAATCCTATGTGGATATGTTTCAATTGTACCTATCTTCAAATCAATTGTACCTTTCTTTATATCAATGGTACCTATCTTTAAATGAATTGAAGATAGGTATAATTCAATTGAACCTATCTTTAAAAGAATTGAAGATAGGTTTCTTTCAACTGAACCTATCTTTAATTGAATTATCAGAAGATAGGTACAATTATTTGAAGACGGGTACAATTATTTAAATATATTTTAATTTGGCGTTCCCTATATGATCATTTTTTAAACCGACAGGCTGCTGACAAACATATTTTTGCTAGGGAATCTAGCTAATTCAATGGTCGGTCGATAAAATGACATTGTTTTCAAATACAACCCTATCTTTGGGCGTATTTTTACCGATGTTTCATACTATGCTTTACATATATTTTACACATATTTTTACTATGGATTGTCCCGTCTACTTGATCAATATTAAGGTAACTTGTCGACAGGGGATGTTTACTCCTCCTCAGCACCTCATCCCACCTCTGGTATTTGTTTCACCCTGTTCACGATTTGTATTGTTTATATGATTTTTCCTTTTATACTCACTGTATAGAATGATTTTCTGTTTCTTGAAAATCTACAGACACTCGGTGTATTTGAATTGATACACCAAAGATGAACTTTAATAAATTCAAGATTTATATGAATTTATAAACAAAAAAATATGCATGTTTATATTCAGGAGTTTTATATTTGGTCACTTGGTGACCAGTTGGTTTGACTGTCCTATCCTGACACAGAATGATTGTAAATGGGATATGATGCATGACGATTTGGATCCGCATTGCGTCATTAATGTTTGTGTCAGCTTGTTCAACACGTGCCAGGAAGTTCACTGTCAGGAAACAGGCAAGTTGTTCACTGTTTTCCTTTGGTCTTGAAATTTATAATGACTCTGATTTTTGTTTAATGTATCTCCAAAGAAATTTTTCCGTATAGTCCACATGTACATGTTTGAAACTTTCTAATTTAAAATCTATTCTAATGTAAAAATAAAATAAGCTCTAACTGTCTTTTTTTTTCACTGGTATTTCCATTTTTATTGGCTCTTTTGATTTTCAGCGATACCAATAAAAAAATGTGCCGACCATAAGCTTAAAAACAAAATTCAATTTACAGTGTATTTATATTCCTTGGAACATTCTTTCAATTTTCGTCTTTTTGACAATTTTATACCCGGTGGACATATTGAATGATGCTCACATTTTATGTGTAATTTGCTTTTACGGTTTATGGGTAATTATGATGTACAAAATTGTATCTGATGAGGAAAAAGTCCCCCATGGCAAAAATTAAATGAAAAGAAACATGTTCTAGAATCCAGGCATTGATTCTCATAAATACACTGTGACTCGGGGGGGTTTTATTGCTCAGCTGATTGATTGGAAGACTTTCAATATGTCAACAACCTTTCTGATTTTTCTATTTTTTTCTTGAGGAGTGACGAGGTTCACATAGAAAGTATTAATTCTTCTCACGTCACAAGATTGACACGCAATTAGACTGCAATCCCCCACTGATTGTTTGTTTTACAGATATGCCTGGGTCTTGTTGCTTCTATTCTTGCGCTTTTTGTATGAATGTTACTCCATGTAAAAGACACGATTCTCATCCAGAAATTTTCAATACAGTTAATTACAATTCATTTTATGGCTTCCTCTTAAGTAAGTTCAAAAACTGTAGTTTTAAAAAATAAACGGCTTAATAAATTATTTTTTAAATGTCTTTCTATTGTGAAAAGAAATGTATTGGAATATTCATGATTTAAAATTGATATAATCCATTATTTGCAGGAAATTGGACTTAAGTATAATGCAATGATTATTTGTTCTGCCTATCAAAAGTAAACACTATGAAATTTCTGTCGTTCTCAAGTACATAACTATTTTCAAGGTGAAAGATCATGTATCGGTCACAATCTCAGAAGCTCTAATGAATTTCAATAAACACAAATAATGAAGTTTCATTATGCAACAAATAATACACATTTATTAATAGAAATGCAATATTCCCTAGTAAGGATATTTTCCCCTTCTGACTATTAAGAAATCGAGTCCAACCCACGCGATTTGTTAATGAATGTTTAATGTTTTTTTTTTTTTGCATACAGTTTTATATTGAATTTGGTTTTTCTCTATGTGTGTGTGCATGTGTTTATTCATCTGACAAACAATCGCATAGTCAAGTACCAAGCAAATACCTTCATTACATTTCAAGGAGTAGTTACAACAAGAAAACGACACTTCTTCGAACATGAACTCGGTTCTTGTCGGTGTTATTTCGTTTAGACTTTGTAATAAAAGTTCTCTCTATAAACACTAAAAGACAAACTAGGGTAGTGATTATTTACTATTTCACGCACTTATAGGTGATAATTATAGACTGTGGAATACTAATATCATCAGCATTTAACCCACTTACAGCTTTCAATTGTTCTAGGATTATGGTCTCCATGTAACGAAAGGTATCAATCATTTTCATAGGTTACTAGTATCTAACCAGCGTCCGATGTTTACAGCGTCATACATTTGTTCAATCATATTCCAAAAAAAACCCATGTAATACTAGTACTTGTACAATATGATGCGCTCAAAATTTCACAAAACCATCACAAATAAATAAAATTATGCAATAACGCAAAATTTCCATTTCTCCCCAGTCAAACCTTCCCCAGTGGATGACGTTGCTGTCACCAATATGACGGCCTCCTGTGTCGATATTCAGTGGTCTCATGGTCAGGAATACCTCAGGATTTTTTACCCACATCTATACCACGTTGTATTTACACCTCTCTCTGGTGGCAATCAACAGGTATAAACATAATATAATGTAAAATATATAAACTGTTGAACGTATTTATTGATGATTAATTAATATCATAAAATCAAACCAAAGAATATAACATTAAAATTTTTCTTAGCTGATCTGAATTTAAGAATGAATGCTTATTCTTAAAAAAATCAAACTTTTCTTCAAATGAGACCGATGGAGGAAATGAAATCCATAATGTATTGAATTTTGTTGAAGGAAAGATCTTGGACAATCAACAATACAAAACAAGAAGCCTGTGGATTGGAACCTTTCACAAAATACCTCATTAAGATAGCAGCTTTACCGCTGGCAGGAGGGATGTGGAGTGATAGTCAGTCTGTCACAATGACAACAGCAAAAGCAGGCAAATATAACTCAACTTTAAACTAGAACTACATATAGTTGAAAGGAACGTAGACTTCTAAATGCATTTGCGTCCAGGAAAAAATTTATGTATCTAAATCTCCTTGCTCCTTTCTTTTCTGTTCCATGCATGCTAGTTAATAACTGGCAAAATGAAAAATAACAAAAACCTTATTTTATTCCAGTGATGATACCATTCTGTGGAATGATGGCTTTATTCATTTTTAAAACTGATTCATGCTTCTCTTTACTTCTAATTTTACACTGCTGATTTGATTTTTTGGCTAACTAATGAATTCGTTTACATTCCAGATTTTCTTTTATTCTTCAGTGCCTGCTCTTCCGCCCATTATTACGCCCAATTCTTTCTCAGTTTTTCCACGTGGACATGACAGATATAGGGATATAATGATTTTTTGGCAGGTACATAAGTTTTCCACTTCTGTTGAATGTTCACAAAATTAAAGGATAAACTTTCTTTGATGTAAGAATATTTCTTTTTTATATCAGAGAATTATGCTCAGCTTATGTTTTCAATAACTTGTAGGATATACAAAAACAAAGGATTTATGGATCTCATTTAAAATACATCGTTTCAATTTGCCCTCTTGTGAATACTCAGAACTGCACCATGGAGACAGAACGCAGCTATGTCCGATTCATAGCTCCTGCGCAACAGGAAGTTACTGCAAGAATTTGGTCACAAAATGAAATCGGAATGTCACGAGATTTTGCTTTCATTAGGATTCCAACTGAAGATAAATGTAAATATTTAATTTTATTGAAATCCAACACCTTTAATCCAACACTTGTAAAGCTAACAATGAGAGGGCCAGGTGTACTTTATTGAATAGAGACATCATTCAAGTAAAAAAAGAACTTTCTTACCTATACTGAAACAAATGAAAATCTTTGCAGATATATCTAAATTTCCCTATTATTTTAATGAATTAACTTTTTAAGGAATGTTAACATTTAAATCTGAACGATGAAGTAACATGAACTAGCAATTTAAAGTTAATTAAAATGGATCTTTCTTTCCCTAAATTAGTATTGCCACCTCCTGAAGTGGTGGTCAGCACCAATGGAACATCTACTGTATTGTACTGGAAAGCTACTCACTCTCATAAAGATAACAAATTCACGATCTATTGGTGTCATGGTGACTATAAGGTAAAGGCATCCCATGGTTCAAAACCTTTAAGAATTACATGAATACTTCGTTTCTTTTCAAGTTTTTCGTTTTCTAGAATCTACATTTGCTCCAAGGTGTTCAAAATACTTCGCTTACGAGAAACCACGATCGACTGAGCTATTTTAAATATGGTGTGTCTGTAGTCCATAATGAAACGACGAGTGGAATCAAATGGGCAACTTGTGTCATCCGAAACAATAGTAAGTGAGAGCCCTAACTAATTATTAAACTGATCTAAACAATGAAGTCAAAATAATTCCAAACCCATGTATAGTATTGATTGAAGTCATAAATTAGGGACACAGTCTTTCAATGATGCTGCCAGAACTTGATGTCAAATTGGTAACCGAACTTAACTTGACAATGTTTATTGAAATGCTTGTTTGGACTATCTAGGTTTGCTCAGGATAAATTTTAGTGATCGAATTATGTTACTTATATAATTCAGATCTTTATACTCTTGATATATAACAGAATTTTCGAGGCCGCCAGAAGTAAGCTTGGTACTACTGAAACATACTCATATTAACATAGTCTGGAGGATGCCCCGCTGTAACATGTACTTACTGTCGGAATTAATTGACAAGTTTGTCTTGACTATTTGCGACGATCCCAACTGCACAGGTAAGCAACATGACGCCTGTTATAACTTTGTACATTTTTAAGTACCAAAATTTGTCATTTTCAAACTGCAAAAAAAATACAGATATTGTAAATATGTATTGGGATTATCGTTCCTACGAAGGACAGGTTCTTAAACAATACTTTCATTTTAGGTATGGAAATGGTCAAGGTGGCAGCGGATGTAACATCATATATGTATACTATAAATCAGAAAAACAATTTTTGTGCTAAAGTTGAAGTGAAATTCGGAGGAAATTCCCAAACAAGCGACATCGAATGTTTAAGACTGGAAAATACATTTCATTTTTGTGAGTTTCTTCAATTTTTTTTTTGGTCATATTTCATATACATTTCATTTCTTATTATATCTATTATTTCTTTTATACTCTTATATTGACCTGAGTCAATGACCACATGTATTTATTATTGTAGACTTAGCAGCAATCCCCGTTGTTATTGTTGTTGTTCTGTGTCTTTTAATTTTAGCTGCCTTACTTGGAAAAACCATCAAGTAAGTGGCTACTTAACTGTATTTTTTCATTATACATTTGTTATGTTCTAGTCTTATTTTTGTTATTTAAGTATAATTCATTATTTATAATATTAACAGAAGGTGGAATTCCAACATCGAAATTGAAGTCCCAGAGATTGGTTGTGATCAGGTAATGCTGAATTTTAATATTGATTGAGTGATTGTATGTTGTTTTACGTCCGTCCCATTCCAGAATTTTTCACTTATAAAGAGATACACCATATATCGGTTAAGGGCTGGTTTCATTTTCCCTGAAATAATATCTCTTCTGTATTCACTTGATGTAATGTACCATGTAAGGTAGCGTTGTCCCAAAGGCTATCCAGATTCCGTCATATAAGAATGCATCCTGGATCTCTATTAAACTCGTCTTTTTTCCTCGTCTGTAGGTTTTTCCTGTGCTTTTACTTCTCCTTTTATCACCAGATTTTGTTTCTCCTGACTATCACCATTTGTCCTGCTTTTCAATGTTCCATGACACTGACTTTCTTACAAATTTCTGCTTTGGGGCAGATCCTTTTTCCGAATTATTACTTCTACGCCTGCTACTCTTACTTTTCCATATATAGAATCTTCCAAATCATTTCTAAGTCGTACTTTGTCTTTTTTTAAAATGTTCAGTTATTAGTGTTAATGGAAAGTGGAGCTTGCCTTGCATTGTGTGTTTCTACTAGATGCTTTTTTTTCAACTTCTTCCTTCGTACTTTGCACAGGACCGCCTTTGTCGCACAGAGGTCGTCCGCGTGGCGCAGTGGTTAGAGCGTCTGCCCTAGAGTTGCGAAGTAAGGAGAGGTCTCGTGTTGCAGTAGGTGTAAACACGACAAAGATCCTTAACTACTCAAAGGCCCTGAGTGCTGAGTATAGGACAAAATTTGCAGCTCTTCACCGGCAAGTGGTGGTGTCTTGATCCAAATAAGTGAAAATTCTCGAGAGGGACGTTAAACAATATACAATCAATCGTTGCTATGAGTGTTGCTTTTGAAAAATGAATTATAGGTTGGCAACAAACATTGCTTTCTCCTTGATTTTCTATCGTCCTTTTAAGATTGTTTCTCCTTTCTCTTAAATTTAACATTGTATCATTAATTTTTTCTCTGCCTTCTCTTCTCGCACAAACTGCTTAGCAACAATTTTAATTGCCGCCCTCAGTATCTCTTTTTTTCTTTTTGCCCATTTCGTATACCTAACTTCAAAGCGTTCTTGTTCAATTATTTAATTGTATTTGATAAACCCTTATGTCCTCCGTATCAGGGTTATGTTTTCCAATGGATTCGACACGCAAGAACATGTTCTAACTACGAACAAATTATATGACGAAGCAAGCTATTGAAAAAAAAACAACAAATTGATGAAACAAGAACTTTAACATACTCGTTTGAAGTCTTCAATTCGCAAGTTTTCTGGTCAATACAGCAAACCTTGTCAACAAATACATTCTATCATTTAGTCGAATACTGACTGACGATTTTCATACCTACTGTTATCCTATTATTTACACACTGATTTTTTTTCTCACTTTTTTTTTCGTTTTTCCTAATCATGACAAAACATCTGAGACCGGTCGATAGGGCATGCTTACTCCTCCTTGGCATCTGATCCCATGTTTTTAGTGGTCCATGCTTTTTCTGCTCCCGATTTGTACTGTTTCGATGGGCATTTAGGCTTGAATACGATTCGTTATCTCCAAATTTCGTTGTTGACGTTGAAAACAGCTTTCTGTGCATGGCACCATTTTGTGAAGTGAAATGCCTTGATAATGTTTTCATCAAAGATCTGTTTCTAATTAATAGTATCTGTTGTTGGCCTTGTATATTTTTCTTTCTAGCTGCGGAAGGCTCTGCAGCTGCACTTTCGGCCTCAATTGATCAGAGGCTCTCACCACTACGGTACTATTGCTGTTTGAAGTCCCCCCAATTTCTCTCTTTGTTATCTGCACTGTTCCCTCTGCTGCTTCCCAGATCCACACACGAGTTTTATTTATGTTTTTTAAAAACTCTTTAGGCCTTTTTTGCACATCTTCCCACAAAAACTGTGTTTCTGTCGCTGTTCCAGTCAGTTGTTGCGCTATCCGAGTCTTTATCGTTCTGTTTTGCTCAATAGTCTTTCATTCCACTAGATCCTAGAGTTTAACCTGCGAGCCTGTGTTATAGATTGGTCTTGTGTTCATTCAAAATATTCAATTCTTCAGCCTTTTTTTATCTACTCCATCTATCTCTCCAGACATCACCAATTTATTCTTGCATGTCAGTCTTTCATTTCAGTCACTCGAAAGTACAGTTTACAGGTTATATCGTATATTTAGATATCTTACTGCTTATGCCACCGGTGACCTAGCTTAACCATTCCGATTTTCACCTGTATATTACCTTTGTAAATGGAGTCCCAAATCACTGCATATCGGTGGTGGACTGCCATGTGTATCTTGCATCTGCCTCTTTTCCTCTAAGCCCTCTATATCGCATTGACTATTTATGCAAGTTGCTACTATTCAAAAATGGTCACTCACTTCTAACGCAGAAAACAAATTAAAATCCATACTGTGCTGGGAAGCAACGGCATCCAACCCACGCAGGAAAGCTTCACTTCTGCAATTTCTGTCTCAGTACCTGCTGTCATTAAATCTTCATATTTGTCCTCTTGCTTTAATTTGACCCGACACATTCCTCCTGCTATGGAACTGTAATTTCTTCTGCCTAAGTATTATTAATCCCTGGCGACCAGGGAACCATTTGGGGCTAAGGTCTGTTATTTAATATTAGGAAACTTTAGTTTCTTGTATATATAGTATTAAAGTAGTAATTTTACTCAAGTTGTGCATTAAATATAAGCTAATTCGGGATAAATTTACTTTTGGAACAACTTAAGTAGAAGTGTCATTACACTGCAAAGAGAATATATTGCGGACAGAACAAAAATGACCCATAGTAAATGGATTGAATACTATACATGTACATATAAACCGTTGTTTGTACAAACATGTATAACGTTATAGGGATACATAAAACATTTGATATATGAAGACAGAAATGTCTTATATTTCAATGTACTTATCGAACGACTTGTTCTTTGTATTGTCATTTGAATATCTAAGAATCTGAGAGCAACTGTCTTTTTCATGTTTTCATATAGCAGTAGTTCAAAATACAGGTCATAATTGTTATTATGGTAAATATTTAATGACTTTGTTTACAGAAACTCCTGAATGGCGCTCCCTGCACCTCCGACAGCAAAGACGTGGTGTTAGATCAGACCCAGGCAGACAGTGTGAATGTGATAAAAGATGTACCAGAGGATAGAGAAACAGAGCAAACTGTGACTTCATATATAGAGGTGGAAACTGACTACTGTGATAACTACACCATTATAAAGGATATTGACTCTCGTACATATTGAAAGAACATCACAGCTGAGAGAGAGAGAGAGAGAGAGAGAGAGAGAGAGAGAGAATGTAACAATTTCTGTTCACTTGACTATGAAATTAACTTTTATTTGAATTGTATTTCCGTATGACCTGACATAAACACTTGTTAATACACATACTTGTTTGATGTCAGTGCTCTCTGATAATATATTTGATGCCCGTGCCGATGTTGAATTAATGTCGTAAAAAGGTTATTCCTGCATGGAAAACAATTTTTAGCTAAAATGACGTTTATAAAGACAATTTCATTAAATTTATTTCTCAGTTGGTATAAATGGTTTTGTATTGTTTTTTTTTTATTGAAAGAGCATAACAATATGCTATTATTGTCAGTTGAAGGCAAAACCTAAATGTACGCATTTGATCAATTGCTTTCTTTCCCATTTGTATGCATTCGAGTACTACTATTAGCTACATGTAATTTACAATTAATTGAAAAGCGTTGCAAAAACACAATTCTGTTTATCAGTTTTTGATGTTGGTTATCGCTGTTGCCATGGTTACTTGAAATATAATTTTCTGTAAAATAATTTTAAAACGCAACTCCTCCTACAGTTCTAGTCTGATTTCAATATAATTTGACGAACAAATAAACTACCTGTACATAAAATATATAACTACATGTATATGCATCGTTTCTGTATATTTTGATAAACGGTGTTGCCATGTTTATCAAAAACATAGTTTTCTGTAAAATACGTTCAAAACTCTACATCTCCTACAGTGTTTTATGGCAAGACCTTTTGCTATATATTCAGAAAAATAAAATTAATCTTAAAATTACAGAGACATATCTTTCATTTTAGAGATATATCTCTCAAAAATAGAGATATCTCCCAAATTAAAGAGATATCTCTAATTTTAAAGAGATATCTCTATGAGAAAGGATATCTCTTAAACATAGAGAGATATTTCTTATACTAAGAGAGATATCTCTATCACTAAGTGAGATATATCTCTTTCCCAGAGAGGTATCTTTTCCATTTCAACAGATATATCTTTCTCCTTGAGAAATATCTCTTTCGTGAAAAAAGATGTCTCTGAACATTAAAGAGATACCTCTTTCACTTAGAGAGATATCTTTTTCAATTTGGGAGATATCTTTCCAAGTTAAAGTGATATCTCTCTTTATCTTAAGATATCTCTCAAAGTGAAAAAGATATATTTTAGAAGTGTCGGAAAGAGATATCTCTCTTTGACCAAAAGAGAGCCATAGAAAGATATCTCTGTCAGCAAAAGAGATATATCTTTTTGCAAGAGAGATATCTCTTTTACTTAGAAAGATATCTTTATAAGCTCGAGAGATATCTCTTTGAGCGAGAGAGATATCTTTAAAAGTTAGCTAGATGTCTCTTCAACAAGGTTAAACGAGATGTCTCTCTTAGTTAGGGAGATATCTCTTTAGATTTTCAAGAAGAAATGTTTTTTCTAAGCTAACGAGATATCTCTTTAATGAAAGAGATATCTCTTTTCCAGTGATCCTTAAAATAAAATAATTTATTCACCTTTAACAAATGAAAGCGAACAAGGAAGTAAAGTCTCTGTAATAATTTTCAGAAAAAGACTGAGCATGTCATACCTGGAATAATATGTGTTGTTGTTCGTCCATCGGTGGCTAAGATGACCACTGTCTCATCTCCGGGGGGTGGGGGATTGACCTGGACGGTGAGTGCAGACTGCGGAGGTGACTGGTCAGGCCGATCCTCGCACGGAATAGTCTCGGACAGTGAGGGCAGGGGATGGTTGCAGCTGCCGGGTCCTTGGCGCTGTCTTTCCTGGCCTCTCTGCGTTGTTCTGCTGTCGACATCCTGTTGACTTCACAGCTTTTGGCGCCCTCGTGGAGTGCGGCTCTCCACCTACACCTGTCTTATGCTGCAACTTCCCATGAGTCAGGGCTGACACTTGAAGGAGGCTTTAGGCTGTTCTTAAATCGCTTTTTGGGGCACCACGGGCACGTTTTCCTTCCAGTAGTTCACCGAAGAGTAGTTTCTTGGGGAGTCCATGCTCTTGCATACGGACTATGTGTCCTGCCCAGCGGAGTTGTGACTGCATGAGCATGGCGTAGATGCTGGGCAAGTCAGCTCGGGTGAGGACTTCTGTGTCGGGTATCTTTTCTTGCCAGTTGATACTGAAAAGCTTTCGGAGGCTGGTCGTGAGGAAGTGGTTCAGCTTTTTGGCGTACCACTGGTAGACAGTCCACGCTTCACAGCCATACAGTATATGTAGTTTGACGAGAACCACTGTACGGTAGACCTTAATCTTTGTCTCTGCTGTGATGCCTCTTCTGTCCCACACGTTCTTTACAGTCTGCCGAAAGCAACGCTCGCCTTGGCCAGTCTAGCGTTCACGTCGTCATCGAAAACGTTGCTGGAGAGAGTGCTACCGAGGTATGTGAACTTGTCCGCTACATTTAGTCGTTGGTTATTGATGGTGATGTTGGGCTCAACATACGGTTTGCCTGGTGCTCTCTGGTGCATGACTTCGGTCTTCTTTGTGCTGATAGGAAGGTCAAAGTGGTCGTAAGCATCAGAGAACTTGTCAATGCTGTGCTGCATATTTACCTTGGAGGTAGCGTTGAGGACAGAGTAATCAGCAAACAGGAGGTCGTTGATGGTGTCCGATTGATCTTTAGACTTGAGTCATCAAAGCGCTATTTGATGCCGGTTCCGGTTTCCGTGCCATCGAAGGCATCAGTCAGCATGGCGGAGAACATCAAGCTGAAGAGCTTCCCTGCTTCACTCCATTGGAGACAGAGAATGGCTCTGAAGATTTGCCATCGTCTTGTACTCTCGCCTGCATCCCATCGTGCAGCTGTCGAACGATGGTGATGAATTTTGTTGGGCATCCATACTTCGCCATGATTCGCCAAAGGCCTTATCTGCTGACAGTGTCAAAAGCCTTGGTCAGATCGACGTAAGTGGAGTATGGGTTGGAAATCTGTTCCTGACACTTCTCTTGCAGCTGACGTGCAGCGAACACCATGTCGATTGTACCGCGATTTTTCCGGAAGCCGCACTGACTCTCGGGCAGGAGGCCATCCTCAAAGTGTTTAATGAGACGGTTAAGTAGAACCCGCGCCAGAGTCTTGCCTGCGATGGTGAGAAGGGAAATTCCACGGTAGTTGTCGCAGGCCTGTGTATTTCTCTTTCGCTTGTACAGGTGGATGATTGAGGCATCCTTAAGGACTTGAGGCACCTTCTTTTGGTCCCAAATGAGTTCAAACAGATAGTGGAGTTTTTCGACTTGAGCCATGCTCCCTTCTTTGTAAATCTCAGCTTGGATGGAGTCTCCGCCAGGTGCTTTGCCAGTTGATAGCAGACTAATTGCTTTCTGGATCTCTTCCAGCGTGGGAACGGCTTCCAGTGACTGGTTGATGGGAACCTAGGGCAGTCGGTTGATGACTTCGACGTTGATGGTAGAGGAGCGTTTCAGAACGCCATTGAAATGCTCCGCCCACCTGTCGAGTATCTTTTCCTTCTCTATGATGAGTGTTAACCCGTCAACACTGAGGAGAGGGGATGAGACTGAAGGAGTTGGACCGTAGACTTCCTTCAGTCCACGGTAAAAGTTCTTCCTGTCATGAGAGTCGGCGTAGCGTTGAATCTCGTCAGCTTTAGCATTCAGCCAGGGGTCCTGCATATCATAAGCTTTTGCTGTACTATGCTGCGAGCGTTCCTCAGAGCGTCTTTCTTGCCTGTGGAGGAGGAATCATCTATATGAGCCTAGTACATGTTAGCGCGGTACTTGTCCTCTAGAAGCTGCGTGATCTCGGCACAGTTCTCATCAACCAGTCTTTGTGTTTTCTGGTGGAGGGCCCCCGGCACTCGAAGGCTGTATTGTACACTGTATTACGAAGTGTGCTCCATGCTGCTTCCACGTCGTGGTCATCCAGTGCGGTGGAGTTCAGGCGTTCATCCAGGGTGTCAGCAAAGTACTGAGAGGAAGACAACTTGAGCTTGCCAACGTTTAGACGTTTTGGAGCCGTGGTCCCTGAGGACGTATCTTGGGTTTGATCCGGAAATGAGTTAAGAGACGATGAGACGGTGATTTGTCCAGCACTCCGCGCCGCACATAGACTTGGTGACACGAACGTCCTGTCTGTCTTTCTTCCTGACGATGACGTAGTCAATAACGTAGTTAATGAGATACCAGTACTTTGAGCGAGGGTGCATCCATGATGTCTTGTTACGGGTGGGAAGGCAGAAAACTGTGTTTATGATGAGAAGATATGACGATATCGACAATATTATATCGATATCGGTCGTGATCAGCACTATTGATTGGAAATGTTTGGCATCATATATGAGACTTTGCGCTATGTCGATGTCGACAACATCATGACGATATCGATCCTATTTGTACAATTTATTTTCACAAAAAGGTATATCATAGTTTTACAATGTCATAATTGATGTCAAAATTTATTCATTATTGTCATGAATATGAAAATAAACTATGATTAAGAAAGGGTTTGGGGTTGTTATTGTTTTGGATTAGGTTTAGAGTAAGGTGTTGGCTTATGGGTGAAAGTTGTAGAATATGTTTTTCAATCATGATTCTATATCGATAAAATGTTGTCGACAATAGGGTAACTTTATTAAATAGAAAGTAAATATGCAATTTAATTATCATGATTCGATATCGATACAGATCGATGGCAGGTATAATCTTTGTTAAAGTAAAGTGATTAAACATAAACACACACACACACACCTTCACACACACAAAGTAACAGGGACGGTATTTACCAAGGGCTGAGCAAACATGATTCGATATCGAAGCGAGATTGTCGATATCGACGATATCGACACTACAGGGAAAGTTTAATAATAGATAGCTTTTAAAGTAACACATGTTAAAAACATATTATTAAGGATGGAAACCATAATTCTGTGAACAAATATGATTCGAGGATGAATTGTAATAGACACACAAGAATAGAGAAATATTATAGTAAACTATAAAAAAGAAATGTGTCGATATCATAACTACGTCGTATCTTGAAAACTTTCCTTAAATTTCTTTTCAGTTTTCTTGTCAAATGTCTTATCCAAGACAGTTGAGAATTATTTACACCCTCTTAGTTTTCAAACTTGATACTACGTGCCTTAAACACATGAACTTCTTGATTTTAAAGCGAAAATAACTGCATGGATCGTAATTACTATTTTTAAAGTGTTTATTTAATTGAATGATTTCAAGAGTCATAGGATGTCTCGTCATGACGAGAAGGGAAAGTTTACCTCCGTGAATGTGACCCTCTCAATTTACCCTT